AGTGACAGTTCCAGATATTAAGAAATATAGTGTTTATACTTCTAATGAAATTTTTGCAATTAAACATGAAGGCTATGTCTAGTCTTCATTATACAAATAAGAATTAAAATGTTTTAAAAAATAATTTATTTGTAAGTCCTAATATATGTTGACGTTTGAAGAAGAAATATTGTAATAATTTTGTAATATGTCCATGTTAAAAACAAAACTATTTTATGTATGTGATTATATTTGTAAACTTATTTTAAATGTAATGTAATAAAATTGAATTTAAAATTGAAACTTACTTACTATAGTCCTTAAATCACAATGAATCATAGGGTATTAACTTACTTGCTATGATCCTTAACTTACAATGAATCATAAGGTCTTAACTTACTTCCTTACTACTTGCTTAGCTTAAAATGAATCTAGGGTATTAACTTACTTACTTACTTACTTACTATGAACCCTTAATTTACAATGAATGATAAGGTCTTAACTTACTAACTTACTTACTATGAACTCTTAATTCACAATGAATGATAAGGTCTTAACTTTCTTACTTAACTCACAATGAATCATAGGGTCTTGACAATATATCTCTTATCGCTTCAATCACATCTACTTAAATACTTTCATCGCAGCTTCTATTACAATTTAAAATTACGATTTGACTACTGACTCAGACAAAAAAAATTTCTGTGGGTTCTAATGTAGCATCTGTCTTGCTCACTTGATTGATACATTTCTTACATAATGTTTAGTCAATTCATTGCTTCTTTCGAGACTTAAAGCCGATAATCATCAAAATAATTGCTATGTACATTTTTTTATACAAAATTATTTAAATAAGTTTTGTTTTTCTAGTATTCCCTTAACTGCAGTCAATTTGGTCAATTATGTCAAACATTATTGTATGGGAAGTGGACCTAATTGATACACAATTAGCGATTGAATTGCGAAAATACGTTAATTGATATTGTATTAACGTATGGTAAAATACCGTCGATTTCTCTATATAGCATAATTTCATTAAAGTATGAGATCAGTTGAACATGTACATGCATTTGTTAAAAAATATTATCTTTTTATAATAGAAATTCATTGACTACCTACAATTATTTAAATATTGATAACAAAAAAAAATTTTCTTCGATGGATAACCTCAAATCAAATAATGCTATGTCGAACCTTTAATCAACTTGAAATAGATTGCAATAAATTTGATAGGACAATACAAAAGAAATATTTGGAAATTATAGACTGATATGCCTAATCAATGGCGTAACCAGCTCAATTTTTTATCAATCTACTGAATAATATGAGGTACAAGCCTCCTCAATTTCTGTCCCCTTATCTGGGCGACATCGTCCGTGCCTCTCCTGTAATCCCGCTCTACAATCCTGATCCTGATCAGAAAAGACTCAGAAGTACAACTCAGTTCTAGTTATGGTCCTAAATAATTGTTGAAGTGACATATATTACACAGAGACGTTGCTTTTTGTTTGTGTAGTTCGTTTAGGAGGTGGTGAACGGTACTTTTTCGTCACAATTGGCGAGTGGCTCTGGGATATAGTCCGACAAATCTTGGAAATATAATACTTTATAAAATAAAGTCTAGCTTAAGGACATTAACGGAACTTTTGCTTCACAGGAAAAATAAGTCAATAACTAAAAAGTAAGTAAATAGTAGATACACTCCTCTCTCTCGCCATCTCATTAAAAACAAGGCAAGTAAGCAAATAATTTTGTTATTTAAAAACCGTATACCCAGCGGCTATATAATTTTGTTTATTGGTTACAATTTAATAATGGTGAATAACTTAAAATAGACAATTATATTCTTAACAATCATTTTATACTTATTACAATAACATTACACATACAACATAGAGATTAGACAAGTCATAATGATAATACATACAATCAGTATACAATCTTTAACTTATCTATTACAATTTATGATATATACTTGTTCCAGAACTTTTCTAACCAATTCTTTTATTAATAATATTTTTAAGAGGAATAAATTTGTAGGGCTCTTTATCGGAAGAAAAAGAGCTAATCTATTGCTAATCTATCTAAAATTTTCAAAATTTTTTCATATTTTTTACAATTACACGTTTCCGCATTAGCTTTATTTGAACCCATACAGTTTCCAGAGTTATGAGCAACGGATTGTTCAAGCGCATTATCACTATTGGTACATGTGATGTCCTTAGTAGCAGCATTTGTGTTTAGATTCTCTGCGTTCACCTTTCCATTAAGTTCATTCTCTTCATGTATTTGAGACATTACTAATTCATTTTTCTTTTGCTCTTGTTTTTCGTTTAATTTGCCATTTTGCTTTAAGATCAATTTATCAATATAGAACTCAACATTTTTCTTAGTAATTTTTTCGTTATAGAAGCAACTATTGGAACAATCACGATTGGTTTTAGGTACATGTGAAGAGTGGGGCCCTACGCATACACCGGACCTTAATGGTGTACTACTTATTATAGTTGCTTTATTGTGCGTACTTGATGGTCTGTTGGATTTTGGAGTTGGTACACCCATTTTTTTGGCACATGTTTCAATAGAGCTACCTTGTTCTTCACATTCTTTAATTTGATCAAATTGCATTAAAAATGTTATCAATTCATGTTTCTTCTCTGCTTCTTTTCTGGTTAACACTTGATTCTGATTTAATATCAATGTGTTGATATACATATTAACATTTTCAATAGTTATTTTATTATTATAGAAACTATTTGTATGACGTTCGTACGAATTGAAGACTTGAGATACACTACATAATAAGTTAGGTGAGTTATTTATTATAGTCGAGTTTTTTACCATAAATGCACTTTTTGTTATAGACGAATTACTTTTTAGAGGTGAATTACTCACAGCATTTGAATTATAACTTGCAATTGATTTCTTAACCGGAGTTGAGGAAGCTCTAGCTACTGGCATACGACTTATAGTTGATTTATTGGGAGAACTAATTGCATTATTATCAGACATTTTAATACGATTTGCCAGTGTGTTATTATAATCATGTTGTTTAACAGAATTACATTTTTCACTAGCTTTATGTTCCAGTTTATTATGGTCTTTAATCCCTTCATCTCGTTGGTTTAATTTTACATGTTCAATTTCTTTCTCCAAATGTTCACTCGTTATTCTATTGTTATGGCATCTGATTTTAGAACTGCTTGAGCATTTCGTTTTAGGCGACGAGTTAGTTTTAACAGTAGAGAGAGATTTCACACTATTAGTTGTCTTTGTCGATGTAGCTAATTTACTCGCTGGAACTGTTTTTTTCTTTAAGTGGTTCGTTATCGTAAAAAAAGTCGGTCCAGGTGAATAATGAACCATATTTTGTTTATCTATAGATAGAGTTGAAATTTCATTATTTGTTAAATGACATTCTTTTGATTTTTCCTGCAAATGTGCTAAATACATAGTCAATTCAATTTTTTTCTTTTTTTGCTTTACAGTTAAATCGCTCGCTTTATTTAATATCAACTCGTTAATATATTTACCAACATTTTCACTAGTTATTATTTCATTTAAAAAGTCATTTTCAGAACTGTTATTGGTTAAGGGCAAATTTTTCTGTTTAGTTCCTTGGAACTCTAAATTTGTTGAACAACTCGTTGTACTATTAACTGGTAATTTAGACGAATTTGTGCTCTTTCCGTAACCATTTGTTAAATATTCTGTTAATTGTCCATTGTTGTTTAATTTGAATTCGTCAATCGGATTTTTAATATTCTCACTAGTTTTAGTATTGAAAATAAAACTAGTTTGGGTGTTGCTATCGGTTGTAGTTTTTTGAATCATATTATTTGCTTTAGTCGGATTCATTGGTATAGTTAAAGTTTTTGATGCAGTCGACCTACTAGTTGCAGTTGTTAAGTAACTAGCTCCAGTTAAATTACTCGTTCGAGTTAACTTATAGACTGCAGCTTGTTGTTCTGAGATCGTTGG